CCTTTTAGTCCTGGGGGACAGGTGGGGGGAGGGACACCTTTTTTCCCTCCAAAGGACCAACCGCTGCTTCGGTTCGCCTTACTTCTTGCCCCTGCACGCGCGGGCGCGCGAGACTCTAACCCCAAGGTTCATGTGCCTTAGGCAAGGTGCTTGAGCGCATGCGCAACATCTCTTCCCCCCCCCTTCCACAAGGGACAGGAGGGCAAAGGGGGCAGGTCCCAGCCGGAAGGATTGGCGCCTCCTCCCTCCATCACCCTCAGACGGATCTCTCACCTAAAAACGCCCCTCCCACTTTCTCTCCCAGCCAATCAGACATGTTCGGACCGACACGCTCCTTGCTCCTCGTTTTTTCCCCCACGAAGGCATTTCCAGCCCTCGGCAGGCATTTACCGACAACCTGCCATCAGGCTAGTCCGTAATGAGGCGGAGACGCAGAAAGAACACACCAGCGGTGAAGCAGCAGCCTTGGGGGAGGGGGGGCGTTTATTTAGAAGCTACCCCTGAGAAAGCCACATTCCAAGGAGAAAATAGAGTATCTTTTTAAATGTTATTTTATTTAACAGCGATCATACCTAAGAAACAAATCTGAGGAAAAACAAGATGTTTTGATGGGTGGGAGGGGTTGCTTTTTAAATACCTTATCTGTGCAGAAATGCTCACAGATCAGTAGCGGCATGTCATTAGATTCAATAAATTCAATAAAGAGACAATGTGCTTAATTAAAAATCAATAATAATTAAATTAAAAATCAATAAATCCTAATCTATCAATCCATCTAATCTAAGGGCAACAGGTTTATTTGGATAAAACCCCAGGATTAGCAGGGTTCGAGTTTTTATACATTTCTTTAAAAGAGAATTTTGCAACCCTGAGGAATATATGCTCATGAGTGACCATTTCTCTCAGTTCATATCATTGGAGACTGTACGATTGTACTTAACTTTCCAGTTCTTTGCTATTCTTAATTTAGCTGCTGTTAATAGATTATTTTCTTGTCCAGTTCGTTTGCTCACAGTTAAATATTGATAAAATATTTAACAGATAGATTCAATAAATTCAATAAAGAAACAATGTGCTTAATTAAAAATCAATAAATCCTCATCTATCCATCTAATCTAAGGGCAACAGGTTTATTTGGATAAAACCCCAGGATTAGCAGGGTTCAAGTTTTTATACATTTCTTTAAAAGAGAATTTTGCAACCCTGAGGAATATATGCTCATGGGTGATCATTTCTCGCAGTTCATATCATTGGAGATTGTACTTAACTTTCCAGTTCTCTTCTATTCTTAATTTAGCTGCTGTAAATAGATTATTTTCTTGTCCAGTTCCTTTGCTCACAGTTAAATATTGATAAAAGCGCTATTTTAAAACTTATTCTTAGATTTAACTTTAATATTTTGCTTATTTCTTTTAAAAAACAGCTTCCAAAATTTCAATAGATATTCACATTCCCAACACATGTGAAGGCAAGAGTCCCAGTTCATGTCCACATTTCCAACATATTTTAGAATATTTTGTTTATCCATACAGTTCAGTTTCACTAATTTTAAGGACCATCTCCAAACCAATTTTTAAATTTTTTTATAGATATACAATTAAAAAAATGCATATATTCTTCTACTTCTCAATATTAATTTCTTCTCTCAAATTTACTTCTTCTTAGAGCTGTGAGGCTCCCAAGATGGAGGCCATGATAGGAGTGCCGTCGCTCCCGAAGAGCACCCATCACACACAGACATCTCCCCCGCCATCCCCACCGCGACGGGAAGAGAAAGGTGTGGAGACCCCTGATTGGGGGAAGGAAAGCGTCGGATCCCTTACCCTGAATAAGGGGGTAGACACCCACGATTTGGAGGAGGTCATGAAAGAGTTAAGAATCACCCGGGAACCGGGACGAGTTCGGGCGGGAAACCGAGGGGAGGAGATTGAGGCTGGGGTAGGAGATATAAGGGGAAAACCGAGGGATATTCCGGGTGGTTGGGAATGGGTGTGGATGGAGGACCCCTGGACCCATAAGTGGGAACAGGTCCGGGTTCCTCATGAAGAGGCAGAGAAGCGCCGACAGTTGGGACTGAAACCCAGGCCCTCTTATTGGGGCGAAACGGAGGCTAAGGAGTGGAGGAGAAAGCTTCGCGAGGAAAGAGAAGCCGTTGCCTGAGAATTGGAAAGAAAGAAACAATGGCATATCGCCGAGCTGAGGAAACTGGGGGGTTACCCGGCCCCTGGGGTACGGATGGAGGAGAGGGATCCTCCTGGGATGGCTGGAGCGAAGATGAAGAGACATTACCTTTAATTTCTTTAGAAGAAGCTCTGGACCCTGGGCTGGGATCTGTGCCACCTACAACAGGTCCCTGGAACCCAGAGACGACGAACCCATTTGTAAATAGTTTATGGACACCGTTAAAACCAAGTCATGTTTTACAAGAATCCCTGAACCCCTTTGTAGGGGGAAATCCGGTTGATGTTAATGTGGAAATAAACACAGAGCCTTTTGATCTACCTCAACTGCCTCGTCCATTTATTGGGGAGAAAACGGCCCTTCCAAACGAACCCTCACATATTGGCGCCCAACGCGGGGGGCTGTCAACACCTCCAAAGGAGATGGACGGTTGGATGAGGCAAATAACGGAAGGACAAGAAGCCCTGATGCGGCAACTGGCAGACCTGCAGAAACTGATTATAGAACAATAGCCTCTTTGAAATCTCTGGTTGATCCTCTGCTTCTGTTAATGCCTTATACATTTTTCATTCATTTCCCTCTCATTTTTTTCCCATCTGAAAATAACCAGATTATCAAAGTGAAGCTACCACAACAAGAGAAAGCAAAGAAATGACTGTCAGGACGGCAGTTAGCTTGCTAGCAGAGTAACAGACAACACAATGGGAGAAAGTGAGATGATACTGTTTCAGCCAGGCTCTAAAATTGAGATGGAATTGGTTCGAAAAAGGAGAACCCCAGGTATCACCTCAAGACAACTGGAGGATGATCAAGGGCTGGCATGATCAGCAAGCCATAGAGGAAAACGTCCACTGTTATTAAACTTCTAGTTCTCTCGGGTCATTTCTCACTTTCAAGTGAGAAAGGGATCTGCCAGAAAATGGAGAAAAAGGGTTACATGAAGCAAGAGGGGAAATAATCCGGCCTATGGGGGTTCTCCCTCCAACTGGTATACATGCCTTTTCTAGTCCTTGACTCTTTTTCTCTTCACTTTTACCCAGGAAAATAATGCTCTCATCTCTGATTAATGCTGGGAGGCAAAACCGTTTCCCTCCTCAGCCATCAACCTTCACTATCCATCCATCCATCCATCCATCCATCCCTCCCTCCCTCCCCTCCTTTTTACCTTATCAGAAAAGACATTCCTCAGGATGGCTCCATCTCATCCCCTAAAAGATGAAACTAAAACCAGTTTTAGCCGGACTCTGAATTGGAGGGGCTCAGAAATGTTAAAAAAAGAGAAGACCTCAGCTGTGTAAAGTTTCAAGGTGTACCTGTTCGGCTTGCGTAAAGATAATGGCTTCCTGTTTTTTTGTGTGTGTGTCTGGCACCTTTGTAGGGGGCCACAGACTGGAAACAATTATTCACACACCACCTCATAAGACTTGTTCTGTGACTTATACATTCCTAATTCAGCCTCTATTTCTTTCATGTGTTTATGGCCAGGGTCAAAATGAGAATGGCTGCTTTGAAGAAAGGCTCAAGAAAGTGAGTCAAGCTGCATTCCTAAGGGCAAGACTGTAAACTTTCAGACAGTAACCCTGATCAGGATCCAAACTTCCCAGGTCTCTCTCTCTCTCTCTCTCTCTCTCTTTCACACAGACTCAGACTTTCTCATTGGCCAAAATCCTATTAAGGCTGTGTCTATCCAGGGTTCTATCACTCCATTTGCTAAGGAGGTCACAAGAAGGTTGAAATAGATTTGTTTTGGTCACAATGACACCATGTAAAGTGAACTGTGTGTTTTTGTCCTCTCTATGCAGAAAGAGAAAAGTCATCCAAAGGGTTCTCCAAGGGAACCAATCCTGCCCTGAAAACCTTAATCCTCATTAAACAGCTTCACCTCTTAGTAACTAACTGGAAAGGAAGAAGAAAAGTCCAGAGGATTCCCCAAGCACTGATTTATTTCCTGGTGTCAGCCCTAAATTTTCTTCAGAGGAACTCAGGCCAGGCCAAAAGTTCTCAGAGAACATTTTTTAGCAAGAGAGGTGTGGCACTGCCTGAGTGTGTTTTCCCTCCCTTTCATTTCATTTTCACAATGAAAACACATATGGAAAGGATATAGGTAACAACAAAAGTAATTTATTTTCCCTAGCTCACAAGCACTTGCAAACATTTGCGAGGAGTAAGATCAGAACTGGCCACTAGAGGGAACTGAAAGACAATACATAACTGGAGTGACCTTAATGATTTTTTTAAAAAATAAATCCTAAACGCTGCTGAAGAAATTTTTTTGAGATTATGTTCCCTTCACTTACCCTTCATCATAATGCCCCCCTTAATGGCCTGTCAAAGAGAGCTGGCTTGTTAAATTTATCAGGAATAAATCCTAATTCTTTTTTGAATTGGAACATTCAGATTACTGTACAGCCAACTTTAGTCGTCGGTTCTCATTGGCTGAAATCCTACTGCTTAGCCTAGTCACCTGCAACTAGAGTAGACCCACTGAATCCAGCGGGGATCTGGTGAGTCTGCAAGAGCCATTGATTCAATGAGGCTACTCTAGTGGTGACTTACTGAGAAGTTCTTCTCTAAATGACTGCATTTGGGCTATAGCTGCCGGGATTCTGCCTAGGGGAATTCTTGCAAGTTGCAAAAAAAAAAAAAAGTGACTGCCCTCCCTGGTTGAATCCATGAGATTTTCTAAATATTCTCAAGCTCCCCTTCCTTCAAATAATACAAGGTAACAGATTGGTTAGTTCGAAACACTGGATCATGTCCAGGGACAGCTAACCTGCTTCAAATGACTAGGAAGTCTTACTTGACTAGCTTATGTTTCATCAATTTGGGGGGGGGGTCTACACGTAAGGAAAAGCCCGAATCCAACTCTTTCCGCACAGTTCTTTTTGCCAACATCCAAAGAGGAATGGAAAGTCAGAAAAGGGAGAATAAAAAACTAACAACACAAAACTGGAGGGATCATCTTAGAAAAGGAACTGCATTTCCATGGCAGTCATTAGAAAATCAGATTCTGCCCCAATGCTTTTTGGGGAACTACAGAAATCTGTTCTCGTTCTTTGTTTCGATAGGAAACACAATTTTATCCTTCCCCAATGCAATGCCTGGAGGCAGATTTGCCAAGTTCTCATCGGGGTGAATATTTCGATGAGAGATAAGATGCCTGACTTTCTGGAAGGTCTTGTGACCCTCCAAGCATTTCAACTTCTCTCTTTCTCTCCGCATGACTTCTTTGATGAGTAGTGAGTTGTGCGCGCCGCCTGAAACTCTTCCCACATTCCAAGCACTTAAATGGTTTCTCCCCCGTGTGGATTCTCATGTGGTTATTCAGGGTTCCGCTGTGACCGAAGCTCATTCCACATTCTGAGCACTTAAATGGTCTCTCCCCAGTGTGGGTCCTCAGATGACAATCCAGGTGTGCCTTGTGACGGAAGCTCTTTCCACATTCCAGGCATTTAAAAGCTTTCTCCCTTGTGTGGATTTTCACATGGCTGGCAAGGTTTGTACGGTGACAGAAGCTCTTTCCACATTCCAGGCATTTAAATGGTTTCTCCCCTGTGTGGATTCTCATGTGGTCATTCAGGGTACTGCTCTCGCCAAAGCTCTTCCCACATTCCAGACATGTAAAAGGTTTCTCCCCTCTGTGGATCCTCGAATGAGAATCCAGGGATGCCTTGTGATTGAATCTCTTCCCACATTCCGGACATGTAAAGGGTTTCTCCCCTGTGTGGATCCTCAGGTGACAAGCCAGGGATGCCCTGTGACTGAAGTTCTTTCCACACTCCAGACATTTAAAGGATTTCTCTGTGTCTGTTCCCTGAGGGAAAACAAGGTTCGGTCTGTGCTGGAAGCTCTTTCTCTCTATTTCTCTGTGGCTTTTTTGATGAGAAGTGAGTAGCCTCCTCTCCCTGAAGCTCTTCCCACATTCCAAGCATTTAAATGGTTTCTCCCCCGTGTGGATTCTCATGTGCTTCTTCAGGGTTCCACTATTACCGAAGCTCTTTCCACATTCTGAGCACTTAAATGGTCTCTCCCCGGTGTGGGTCCTCAGATGACAATCCAGGTGTGCCTTGTGACGGAAGCTCTTTCCACATTCCAGGCATTTAAAAGCTTTCTCCCTTGTGTGGATTTTCACATGGCTGGCAAGGTTTGGACGGTGACTGAAGCTCTTTCCACATTCCAGGCATTTAAATGGTTTCTCCCCTGTGTGGGTCCGTGAATGACAATACAGGGACGCCCTCTGAGTGAATCTCTTCCCACATTCCAGACATGTAAAAGGTTTCTCCCCTGTGTGGATCCTCAGGTGACAAGCCAGGGATGCCCTGTGACTGAAGTTCTTTCCACACTCCAGACATTTAAAGGGTTTCTCTGTGTCCGTTCCCTGAGGGAAAACAAGGTTCAGTCTGTCCTGGAAGCTCTTTCTACTTTCGAAGCTCTGAAAACTTTGGTGAATTGCAATGGATGAATGATCATTTCTACTGTGTGTATTTTCTTCAGTTCTACTTCCTTGAAGATGACTCTCTTTACAAATGACTGTTTTCAAGCGTACCCAGCACAATTCTTCCTGGTTCTCGCTGTGTCTTACCTCACGGGCTGAAATAAGATAAAATAAGAAAATCCCATTGGAAGGGGGCACTTCGGGATGCTGAACAGGTTGGCATCACCTCTGAGAACCTATTCAAACCAATATTACCAGGAGGAGGAATTTGGATATAAGCATGAGGAAAGAATGGTCTGTCCCTTTCTTGATGCTCAGACCTCCTGCATCTACAGTTAGTCTGATGCTCTTAGAAGTCTGCTTTTCAGTCCCACCTCCTTTTCCTGTTTCTCTAAAGGGGCAGAGCTATCACTGGGTCCTTTCCTGTCTGCTTTCTGGGGAATGTATCAATTAGTGAGGATTAAGCTTTAGACTTTTACATCTGAAATGTAATATCCTATCTGACTAGTTGTTTTCCACCTGTTTTATCGTGGATTTGCAGTGGGACTGAGCATCCAAGGGTCTAAACACCACCTATTGTGCTACAGAAAGAAAAACTTTAATAGTTTTCCTCTCCCTCATCTTGTGAACGTGCACAGCAGTGATAGGCTACATATTCTTTGGTACTATTTGCACTGTGGGTCTGTCGACTGAAGGGGGGAAAGCAAATCTCACCCAAAGATAACACGTTTTCACGCGTCTCCTCCATGACGTCCCTGTGGCAGGCCCTTTGGTTCTGGTCCAGCAATGCCCACTCGGCCTCTGTGCAATTCACAGCAACTTCATCAAAGGTTACAGGACCCTGAAAGAAGAGGAAGCCTTTCATCTTCAGAGAGAATGCCGTTGTTCGACTCTCACTAAGTACCGCCAAGAAGAGAATGAACACAACTAGGGATGGGCACCACCGAAGAACTGATGCCTTTGAATTGTGGTGCTAGAGGAGACTCTTGAGAATCCCCTGGACTGCAAGGAGAGCAAACCTATCAATTCTAAAGGAAATCAACCCTGAGTGCTCACTGGAAGGACAGATCCTGAAGCTGAGGCTCCAGTACTTTGGCCATCTCATGAGAAGAGAAGACTCCTGGGAAAAGACCTTGATGTTAGAAAAGTGTGACGGCAAGAGGAGAAGGGGACGACAGAGGATGAGATGGCTGGACAGTGTCTGCGAAGCAACCAACATGAAATTGACACAACTACGGGGGGCCGTGGAAGATAGGAGGGCCTGGCGTGCTCTGGTCCATGGGGTCACGAAGAGTCGGACACAACTAAACGACTAGACGATGACGAGGGATGGGCACAAACGAGTTTGTCCCAGTTCATCAGGGGGCAGCGCAGGTACTGCTGCTCCCCTGCCCTGTCTCCACTGGCTCAACCAGGACCCTCACTTCCTGCACCTCCTTCAGTCCCGGCAGCAGCTCAGGCTTCTCTGCCCCACCCCCTCTTGGCTGACCTGCCACTCAGAGAAAAGGGGCGGGGAGAGTAGTCTGTGCTCTTGCTGGTGACTGGGAGATCAGCCAAGGAGGTGGGAAAAGCAAGCACGTTCAGGAGAGTGAGTGGCTGATTGGAAGAAGAGGCAGCAGGGGGGAGCCACAGCCCAACACAAACTGGGATGAACTGGTGCATGCCCCTCTCTAAGCACAAAATGTAGGCTGGGAATCCGAGGCCAGACTGAACCGTTCCCTGAGGAAACCGCCAGGACATTTACGATACAATATTGAAAGAAGTGAATAGAAGGGACCAAACTGTAACCGGCTGAGGAGGAAGCCAGGAAACAATGGTGCTCAGGAACCTTCCCCATCTCCCCATCCAATCCCCTTTACCTGTTCTGGCTGCACAGGCACAGCTTCCATTCCTCTGCAAATGGGAGATGAGGGAGAAGTTACCTGCATATTTTCAATGCCTGCAAGAAAAGATCTCTTATTCTTCACGTGAATTTTATCCTCAACTTACTCAAAAAGGAACCTTCCTAATTTGATCAACTAATATTTCATAAATTGCACGCAGGAGGCTTCAAAGGCCATTCACTGCCTTTGGAAAGATGCAAAGAAGGGAGATGGAGAAGAAATGTGTTGACTGGGTCTTACCCTGTGAGACAGCTCCTCCGATCCCCTCCAGCCTGTTCCTCGGGAGCAGTGGCCTCTGCCTGAGGGACAAAGGAGAGTCCACTGCCAGAGGGGAGCCAGAGACAGATTCTGAAGAACCCTGTTCAAAAATAATAATAAAATTAAAATAAAATGAAAGGAAATAAAATGATATGAAATAAATAAATATAAATGAATGAATATATGAATAAAAATAAAAAAAACACACAGAGAGACAGCAAAGTCCAGATACCCAACACAGGAAGGGGAACAAATTTAAGAACAGTAGAGTTACGAACATCCAGATTTAGGAAGAAGAGTGGAAATGTTTGGTTAGGCCACTTATAAAAAAATAATTGACATGAACTCTCACCGTCTCCTCTTCCTCCTTCTTATCCACGCTCTGGCTCAGGAGGAAACCTTCCGCCAGGGACACAGCCTGGGAAGTGGATTCTGGCTTGCATTCTCTAACCCAGATCTTCATCGCTGGTGGCAGGACAGCCAGGAACTGTTCAAGGATGATCAGGTCCAGCATTTCAGCCTTGGTGTGTTTTTCTGGCTTCAGCCACTGACGGCAGAGACGATGAAGTTGGCTACAGACCACTCGGGGCCCTTCATCCTCCTGGTAGCTGAATTCCCGAAAATGCTGGCACTGGACCTCTGGGTCAAGATAGTCCGTATCAAGGTTGTTCTGTTCAGTTCCTACTGGGAATTCCTCCTTGCTCCAACCCTCCATGTCATTCAGCTCCTTTCCAGCTCCAGAACTGGCTGAGACCTCCAATTTCATCTCCAATAGAAGCCAAAAGAATGGAAGCCAATGGTCTGCCTTTTCCCTCTGTAGGAGAAGCAAAGACATCGCAAAACTCAAGGGCAAGCTCAAGGCTTGGGAATGGCTCATTTATTTGAGACAGAGATTGAAGGAGGAGAAATAAAATAAATAAATAAATAAATAGAAAGCAACTGACCATGCAAAACCATTCTACAGACTCTGCTTTCTCTAAATTTTGTGCTCTCAACTTTTCTTTAAAAAACCCCTTCACCAGGGACTACCTTCTCCCAATGGCACAATTTGTATTACAAATAGAAAGTGCCTTTTCACTGGTTCAAACCCAAATTGTCTTCAACAGAGAAAGATTTGCAGGCAGGGGAGGAGGGCGAAGGGGCCTGTCCCAACTGGGAAGTGCTTTAGCCCTAGGAGGCTCCTTTGTGGGTAGAAAAGGATGTTCACTCAACACTCCTGGAGGTCTCTCCCAGCCCCACACGGTCCCATGACTGTCGCCTGCCTCACCAGAAGCAGATCCAAGCGAATGTGATCTCCAGGAGGGGGAAAAACAGCTGTATTACAAAACGCTCACAAGGAGGCATGGAAGAGGGAGGTGGATGAAGAGAGAGAAAAGGGTACTGGAAGGGCTTTGCTTTTAAAATGTAGGTTTTTAACTAAGATGACGGGATACTATCTATCCGGAATTGACTGCTCTGTTTTCGGTGCATTTACGATCGTTCTAATCTCCTTTGTTTAATTGTGTGTGTTTTCAAATTGCGGAGGAAGGAGCCCTCGGAGGAGGAGGAGGGGA